AATTTTAATACAGTGTTTAGAAAATAAATTTATACCAAACTCAATTTGTGTAAAATGAAATTTTTATCTTATTATAATTTGATACTAGTGGATCTGTATGCGACGAGTCACACTTGTGATATGAAAATACAGCGAAGGTTACTGCAATTATTGTTCCTTTTTTTGTCTGACTTTTGTTTGTGAGTATTTTTGTCTAACTGTTTTCTGAAAATGATTGGAATGATTAAATTTGCATGGCATTGAGAAATGCAATTGGGTAGATGGTGATGGTCTTTCAAGATGGTCCTATAAGATGAAAACCATGGAGTGGTGTGCAACTGCAAGAAGCAGAGAAAAAGGAAAAAGAAAAAATGACAAGCAGGACGCTCTTATCAGTTGGCAGCCTCATAAAGCTTCTCCCAACAGGCACATTCTTCGTCTTCCAATTCCTCAACCCTGCTTTAACCAACAATGGTAAATGCAACGGCAACAACAAGTCCCTCTGCGCCATTCTCCTTGGCCTCTGTGGCATCAGCTGCTTCTTTTCTTCCTTCACAGACAGTTACACAGGCAATGACGGGAATAGGCACTATGGCTTGGTAACCCCATATGGAATCTTTCCTTCACCGGCTTCCGACAACATTGACCTGTCAAGGTACAAACTCAAGTTCGGAGACGTGGTGCATGCTTTCTTCTCAGTTATAGTGTTCGCAGTGTTGGGGTTGTTGGACACCAATACTGTGAATTGCTTCTACCCTGGTTTTCATTCATCTCATCGTATGCTTCAACTGCTTCCCATAGCTATTGGGTTAGTGGCCGGTGGGTTGTTCACGATCTTTCCCAATGATCGCCATGGATATGGATACCCTTTGACCCCGGATTTCAACGACAACGCTCCTCCCAATAATCCGGTGGCAATGCCTAATCCCTAAAACTTGTTGCTGTGAAAATGTATGCAAACTCTGCATGTACTTGCATGAAATGTTCTTGCACTATATTTTGTGTGTATCAAATAAAAGATTTGTGTCAAATAATATAATTTACTTTTCTATCTCCTGTGACTGTAAAGTGAAGACTTTAATCTTTAATGTATTATTGAATTTTGTGTGTCATATTTTGGCTCTTTTAATTGCTTTTTTACATATACATAATATTATTAATGTTAATTTAAAATATACTAGTTTATTCGCCGTGCAATGCTTATGTATAGAAATGATAGAAATGCTTTTTAAATTTAAAATGGATTTTTATAGGTAGAACGTAACCTTAAAAAAACATCGCATAACATTACGGCAATAACAAATAGCTCTTATTCTTTATAATTTTTGTTTGGATTTTCCATTGATTTTTCCCTGTGGCAAACAAAGCAGATAAAGGATTGAATGTCAAAACGAAATGGAACCTATATAAATTTAAAAGTTTTCTACCATAACTCCTCCCAATGGCGATATTTTCTTATATATAACCTTTTCTTTTCTGTTACACCTTTCATCTCTCACTTTTTTTCTTTAATATAACTGTGCTGAAATTGGTGTATAAAAAATGTTTAACAAATTAACATTGACAGAACCCCTTAACCCACATATTCTTTAATATAATCAGTTTTTTTTAAATATAAATTTTTATTTGAAAAAAAAATATACAAACAATATTTAAAATTATAGAAATATAAAAATTTTGTTTAAAAATGTTTTATTTAGAACAAAAATTAAAAATAGAAAATTAAAAATATAACAAAATATCAAATTTTTAATTGAAATTTATAAAATAAAAAAATATTAAAACTTATTAGATATTTAGAAAAATTAAAAAGATATTTTAAAATATAGCAAAATATAGAATTTTAATTGAAATTCATAAAATTTTGAAAATGGAAAAGATATAAAAATTTATTTATGAAATTTTATGGTATGATAAGAATAATAATTTTATGGTACAAATTGAGGAGAAATTAGAGGCATGACAATTTTCGTGTTCCAGTTCCTTAACCCTGTTGTGACCAGCAGCGGTCATTGCAATGCCACCAACACTGTGCCCTGCTTCTACCTGACTCTGCTTCAGGTGCTTCCCACAGTTATTGGAACAGTAGCGGGTGGTTTGTTCATGATCTTCCCCGACAAACGCCATGGAATTGGATACCCTATAACTTCTCATTCCAACGACACCCCAATCCGAAGGACAATGCCCAGTCAGTGTATTAGAACAATACTACTTTTCATCTTTACTTTATA